TAGCAAGGAAAGCTTCAGATTTGATTAATTACTTGGATAATTGATAAAAGCCTAACAAATATTACTTTTTCTGCACACACTTGCAGTGACCAAATAAACAATCAGTATACGATATGACTCGGTTTGGACATCTAGAAGGAAGAATGGTAGGATGATGAAACAATTCCATTTGACCATTTCATTATAAGAGCAAAGAAAGACGGTAACTTGGTTTACTAGTTCATTATCATAAGTGTGAAAAGAGACACCAAAAAACAAAAAGCACAAAGACTTGGACTATGTTTAAGGTAAATTGCAATAATTAACTGATGAAAGTTTTTCAAGTAAAATTTGCAGCTTTTACAGGCGAACCAAAAGCCCTTCTCCCAGGTTCTTAATTATGTGATTTTTCAACTTACAAATCTATTAAGCATATTTCACTCGTCTTATTGCGACAGATGTGTAATATTCTTGTCTTACCAAATCCTTAGTTTTGTTTTCTTTCATTAGTCAGAAATCCCAGTAATTAGTTTTAAATGTATTGCTTTCATTAAATCTATAATTTGGTGACTTGTTGAATTTTAGAATCTCAAAATTAAATATACTGAATTTTGTTATTCTTGTTATGTAATTAAGAGTCAAACCAGCACTTTTATACTTTAAACAAATCAATAATTTCAACGAAATAGTCGGTAAATATTCTCTGAAAGCAATAATTATGATTAATTGTAAAATTAGAGCAAGAAATCAAATCAAATTAAATTTTAAAAAATAAAATCATAATAAAATCAGAAATAACTATATTATTTTTTATAAAAATATTGAGTACATGTATAGATGTAATTTAAAAAGGAAAAAACAAGAAGATTGACTTCATCCCATCAAGCTGTTCTTCTTCTTTTGTGGTGATAACCTAAGAGAGTCTCCCAAGCTTGACGGACGATCTTGAAAGCACCCTCAGCCGCTATCGGATCATTCTTGTCTGGATGTACCAATAGCGCCACTTCTTTATAATGCTTATTAATGGTAGTCAAATCAACGGAAGAACAATCTTCGATAAAGAGGATTGAATACAAGACTTCAGTATCATCTACTTTCATCTTCTGGCAAAGGCTTAGCATCGAATCAAACTTGTGAATAAGATAGGCTGCAATATATTTCTGGACGATTCGTAACTCAGGAATCAAATCAAGTGCTGCGAACCCTTGTTGGATGGCTTTGTCGATATTTCCTAACTTAAAGCATTCTTCTGCAACTGCTTTGGCATTTTCAGCAGCGATTTGTGTGAGTTGAGATTGGCAGAGACCTTGAAGACGAAAATCTACCATGATAATACAATTTATTCAAAAAGAGTGAAAAATTGATATTTAAGAATGATTAAGATTTTTGTGAATTATAGAAAATAGTATTTATATTAATGAAAACTTAGCTTCAAAACAAAGCTAATTTTTTGAATCAATCAACTCAAAGTCAAAATCAAATCAATTTTTGTTTGATTTAAAAAGAAGGGATAAAATGGGAATTTGAGTTAGTAATGAATCCCATAACCGGTCTCAAACCGATCTGGAAGAAGACTCCTTATAGCATAAGGATAGCTTTGGAGAAGGAGAGTTCTGTACAATTACATCCAAAACTGCTTGATAAGTAAATGCAGTATCCAAGGTGCCCCTCAACAAAAACTGGGCAATCAGGAAAGACAAACACAACTGAAAAGCACATGATCAGACCATTTCCTTGCAAAGCTTGGAACCACGGAGAAGCGGCTGGGAAAGATCATGCGACAAGGAACATCCGTAGAAGACACGCAAAAAGATCAAGTGAGGGACCTGTTGGGAGTGCATGTTGGCTTCAACTCCCTCTCTGCTCAAGTAAACTAAGGGCCATCACAACACACCTTCAGCTCGACAATCCCGACAGAGGTGAGCTGCCAATATCAAGTTATACTGAAAATTTAGAAAACTAAATCAGTCTTTGTTAGACTTTTAAGTTAATGTATTGGAAAGAGGGGGGATTTGGATTCTATCACTCCT